GCACCTTCAACACTTTTAAGTAGTGTCTAAGTGTACGTTTCTTCAAGTGTAGCTCAAATTCTCTTGGAGTGCAGAGGTTTTTTTTTTTTTTTTTTACAAAAAAGTCATCTATATAAGCGAAAGCATTTTCACGATTGTCGTTCATCCCAGGGTGAATACATAACAAGCCTTTTACAATATTTGGCTTAAAATATATATATATATATAAATATATATAACATATATATAAAAGTAAGTATACCTTTTTTGCACCAAGTGGGTTTATTCATTTCGCTTTCTCCGGACAAATATTATACTATATTTGCGGGAACATAATCTTTGTATAAGTTTCTAGTTAATTTAGATTCCATTGGTTTAATATCTCTTATTGTAATGGCGAATAAGACTAAGAGTATTTTTTTTATTCATTATAAACTTTTTAGTGAAATCTTATCAGCAACCACAAGAACCAGCAGAGCGAGAACCAGCAGTACAAGAACCGGCAGTACAAGAACCAGCGGAGCGAGAACCAGCAGCAAATCTACCTTGTGTTTTTGCCAGATTGGTCGGCACGTACAATAGTGTTGGATTAAAAAAATGTGGAATCAAGGTACCCACACGACATGCTGATTCTCGAACATCCAAAAATCAGCTTCTTTTATATAATTCTTTTTTTCCTGAGTTGGTTGAAATTCAGACGCATTTGGAAGACTATTCTATGTGTGATCGGCACTATAATCAACTCATAGCTTCTAATTATTTTCATCATCATCTTTTAAATTTAAATAGTCAGCGGCACAATCCAAAGCGGCAAGTTGAAAGTCATGATTCTGAAACCGAATTTATCAAAAAACAAACATGTGAAATTGGCATACAGGTTGGAAAACAATCGTGTGAGGTTGGCGTACAAACATCTGAATCTATAATTCAAGACCTTGAAAATTATATAATTTTACTTCAAGAGCAATTAAATAAAAAAATAAGTGAAATAGAAGATCTTCGAAAACATTTAGATTGTGCATATAATTATGTAGTTGAAAGTTGGGAATGCGATCAAAAAAAATAAATAAATTAAGTCAGGAGTTGATTAAACAAAATAATGATTTATTATTTAAGTGGGAAAATCGATTTAGTAATCAAGAAAAAAGGATTGATTCTATTGTTCAAATTGCAAATAAAGAACGTCAAAATGTTTATAATGATATTGATTCATTAATTTTAAATAAAGATTGATTTTCTCTTAATAATTTGTTAAATTTTACACCAAATAATTGGCTAGCTAATCATAACCCAGTTATCGTTAACTTTATTGAAGTTCTCACCCATAATAATGAAAGTAGTAATAACGATTCTACTTTAAAAGAAAAGCTCTTCAAAAAAGTAGTCGCGGTTGATGCAATTTATGGATCAAGACATAAAAACTATGTCTCTGAAATAAATCTAACCCTATCAGCAATTAAGTACTCATTGGCACGGTCCAGAATGATTGTCAATATTGACAATCACGTTATTAGTTCTGGAAGTTATGTAAAATTTATTAACTGGTTAGAGTCCCTTGCAATTGAACAAGAACCTATGCCCAAAGGGCTTTTATTTCTAGCCTTCGATAATGAACAACAGGGCCAATATAATTATCTTGATCGAGGGTATAATACTGTAATTTATCATACAGTTACAAGTTTTGTAGCATTTAATATAGATAAAAAAAATTTGGTTCAATTTACAACAAATCCGTGGCGTTATAATTTATTAAATGACCTTCAATATAAAGAATTATATTATCTTACACCAGAAATGAGAACAGAATGTGAATCGGAATTAAATGCATATTTGTTGCCAATTTTAAATGAACTCATTAATGAAAAAAGAAACGAATTGAATACAATTGACACAATAATAAAAAATCAAAAAGGCGTTGGCGGTCACTCAAAATGGTGTAAAAGGTGTAATACAACAAACATTGATAATAGAAAACGCACTTGTCCTAACTGCAATGAAAAGTTAGATACATTAGCTGCATTACGAGCAGAATCAACTAATGAGTCTGCTCAAATTAGTAATACAACCTCCCAATTAAAACCTATCATAATAAAATCTAATACCTTTACTCACGAACAAAAAACTTTACTCTTTGAACGTATTAGCATTACACAAAAACTTGAACCCGATCAAAATGTCGTTGTTCCAGAAATGTATGTGCCGGACCCATTAGGACTAAACTCTAATTCGATAAACAATGTTAAAAAAGTTTTAGAGCACATACAAAACATCACAAAAATAAACAATGATGGGCGAAAATGGTTACCTGTTATTTGTGATGGAGTTCCTTATAATCTTGCTCAAAAAATAAAAAAGGATTTTCCTTGGTTAATCCTAATTCCTGGAGCCCTACACGAAGAAATGAACATGCTTAAAGCATTTGTAGAGCTAAATTGGTTTTTATTATTGTCATATTATTATTATTTTTTTTATATTCTCTCTAATCTAAATATTCTCGTTTAGGGCTATCGATATCAAACAATTTGCTATTCGTCAAGGATATAGAACAGAAAATCAGCTCGGGTTTTTTAAAAAATGTACAGACCATCATAAATTGTGGGACTCAATTTGCGATATATACAGACATGCTATGACGTGTGAATTGCTATGGCCATATGTGGTTGAAGCTGAAAACCTCTCAGTCGACAACTATTTAGATTGGGCAAAAAACAAGATGATTGCATTTATAAATTAAAATTTGAACAGGTAAAACTTTAATTCAAATTACAGAATTATTGTAATTTAAAAATTTATAACTAAATAATTAAATAATATTATAGACGTTTGTCTATCTTCAGGCAATAGTCAACTTTCGTACAGGAGTGAGGAATAACAGACCATCATTAAGAAATGCTGCTAGACGTATATTTGCTCCAATTTGGTCCGGTCGTAGACACCCTATATATCGCTATATTGAGGTTGATTATGAAGGACAATTATTATGATTACATCCTGAAATCAGAAAGATTATAGAATTATACTCTGTTATTTCACGGTCAGGCTATTGTAATCAACATCAAGGCCTTGATGCTATTCTTGAGGAAATTAATAAATATTTAAAGGCCTTAATTTCGCCTGTACCCTTACAGCGACATTGGAATATAGCAGCTCGAAACTGCACAAAATTTATAAAGGTTAGTAAATTTATTTTTGAGAAATTAAAATCAAAATTTTATATATAAATACTTATCATAAACAATAAATTAGCTGCGTTACATGTTATTTGATATGATTGGACATACAGAAAGTGAATCTTCAGGACACGTCCAGACTATACTTCAGAATCACAGCGATTTAGAGTTCAGTTGAGGAAAACCGGATTTTTAAATCCTCAAAATGATAATCGCAGATTTGAGAGTCTTGAAGGGGAATATTTGCTTAGTGAACAATTAAAAAAGTTTAGCGATTTGGCATGTGAAAGGCGAATAGCATTTATTAAGAAAACCTTCAAAAATAACAAGCCAAGCTTACCACGGCCAATACCTGTTACTGAACAAGAGGAAGAGGCAGCTATGAGTGAAGAAAAGATGTCAAAAGCAAAACTTTTGGCAACTATAAATTCATTACTAGCTTCTATTAATATTTCAGATCGCTCCAAGTATTGTGGTTTATGGCAGAAAAATTGTAATCAATTGCGAGAGATCTTACAAAGTATTAGAGACCTGCAAGATAATCAGGAAGAACCTGAGGATGAATCAGAAACAGAAAATTAAATAAGTTATTTTAATAAATAATGATACCGATTGAAATTTTATGCTCTATTTCAAAAGTGTACTTTGTCCATATGTTGTAAAACAGTCGGATCTAATTCGTGATCATGTAGCCAACCTTAAAATTTCAATTGATACTGTAAGATCATTCATTTTAGTGTCCTCGAATCCTGTGATGCAATTAGGTGCTGAGAATATTGTTTCTGATGACACAAAGCTTGTTCGGAACACCACCCAGCCTGATCAGACTAACAATTTCGTTACCTTATACCTAATGATTTCAACGTGTAATAAGAGCACCCGGCTAATACTGTAATAAAAAGAGTAATAAATATTTCTATTATTTAATTTAAAAAAAAATAAAAAAATCGAAAACTTATCTTTTGTACAGTACAGTTCTGCATTGTAAAGCTGTTAAGTCTAAGTTAAAAATCAACATTTATAAGGTTAGCGATGATTGGGTCGATTACATGTGATCGAAAATTTTCTAGAACATTTCAAAATGAGGATCATCCCCTAATTTAGAAATACCAAATATGGAAATTTCCC